GTGTGCTCAAAAGAGAAGAATGGAGTACAGGAAAGTATTAAATGAAGCAAAAACTTGGAAATATTTATCAATTGATAGCAATCCAGTTTAATTTTATGTCCAGGGCTACCATCCTGCATCCTCCTTTGACATACACATTATGAGGGTTGATGAATACAACCCATCCGACATTTCCTTTCCCAGTTTGGTGGAAGTACTTGTATGAAGGCTGCTTCACCAGGGAGGTTTGGACCTGTGTGGACATGTCTGGTGAACAGATGGGGTGAGTCTTCTGGGAAAGTCCTTGCAGAATACTGGGAACTTAGGGAGAAAATTCCCGGAGGTGGAAAATTGCAGAAATGATAACATCATTGCTCTTATTACCTCTCCATTTTTTTTATCACTAATTTTTATATTGGGATCAGTGAGAAAATAGGATTTAATCTTCAAAATATTCAAATATTTAAGTAGATTTCTCTAAACAGAAAGAGAAGAATGAAATTCATATGTATGGGCAATGAACTTAATTGTCATTACTGGGCCTTATGGATTTTGCTTTCCTATAGAAATAAACTCCTGAATCCTGATTTTTATTATCATAGACTTAATTTCTTTCTAAGAGTCACTTTCTGCTTATCTCAGCATTGGATATTTGCTAGATTATTTCCTCTATCTATCCTTCCTAGAAAGGTAAATATATACCTAATTGCTCTTTCTACATAAGTAGAGACTTCAAAAAGATAATGAGGAAATCTTTTTCTTCTCGTTGGTCCTTTGGCCTTTTTAATCTCCCCTCCACTCCCAGCTGGGGTAGTCATTAAAATGCCTCAGACAACTGTGGAGTGTTCATGATCATAACTGTGATATGATCATATTACACACCCATTCAAAGTTCTCTGCTTCAGGGCCAAGGTATGGGTGATGTCACAGAGCCTGTGGACTTCCTGCTTCCTGGACTCGTTTCTTTGTTGTGAGAGGATACAATATGAGAGAAAGATGGACTCACTATAATTCTGAGGATGAGATTTCTAACTAGGGTCTGGTAAATCTTGAGATATTTTCATGTGGATAAATTGATCTAATTAATTCCTTTCAACCTGGTATATAATATTCCACCACATGAAAATATTACATTTTCTTTATACATCATATTGATGGACATTTAGGTTCTTTCTAACTTTTTGCTATTGAAAATGATGTTGCCATGAACATTCATATATATGTTTTCTTATGCACATGTATGGAAGTTCCACTAGCACAGGGGTCTTTAAACTTTTTTTGTTAGCAAACAATTTGGAAGAACCTTTCCTCCTTACACATTTTAGAATTAGAATAAAACTTTTGAATCATAAACTTAAGTAGTTATTAAGGAAGTAATTTCCTTATAGTGTAAACATTAACATTTAAAAGTAGAATTCTTAAAGGCATCCAATGGAATATAAATATCATAGTGATTTGAGACTCACCATCATCCATCAAAATATTAATAACATCAACAAGCTCTTCGCTTACAGTGAGAAATTTTCATCCCTCCCTTTTTTTTTTGGACTTGAATTTTCTTCACACTTCTGCCACAAATTTTTCTCTAAATGTAACATACATTACGTGTGAATATCTGATCAATCATTCTATCATATTTTTCTGCAACAAATTTTATATAGAAATTTAAATTATGTAAAAGCCCTTAGACCAGTGGTTCTCAACCTGTGGGTCGTGACCCCTTGGGGGTCAAATGACCCTTTCACAGGGGTCGCCTAAGACCATCGGAAAAGACATATATAATTACATATTGTTTTTGTGATTAATCACTATGCTTTAATTATGTTCAATTTGTAACAATGAAAATACATCCTGCATATCAGATATTTACATTATGATGCATAACAGTAGCAAAATTACAGTTATGAAGTAGCAACGAAAATAATTTTATGGTTGAGGGTCACCACAACATGAAGAACTGTATTAAAGGGTTGCGGCATTAGGAAGGTTGAGAACCACTGCCTTAGACCATACTACTGTTAACAATTCTTCTGAATAGAGTTATCATCAGTTATTCCTAGTTCATAATTGATCAGTTAAATATTTTAAAATATTGACAAACATTTAACATGAAAATATCAATGAAGTTTTTAAGAAATTGGTTTGTATATCATAAATGAATTTTATTTATTTCTAGGAGGTAGGTTCAGCATCCGTTTATCCTTAGTTTTTGCTTTCTATTGTGAACACTGAGGAATATTATTTACAGAAGTAAGTAGATGACAATTGAAAGGAATTGTTTTAGTGATGTCATTTATTCAGTTGAAAGCTTTCCAAAATATATGCTATACAACACTTAGTCATCTCATTTTCAATGATTTATTAGTGGACCATTTGAATAGGCTTTCCCTCAATTTACTAGAAAACTAGTAATGTTAAACAATCTAACTTTCAAAAGGTATTGTTACTCAGTAGTATCACTCAGCTTTTCAACATTAACATCACTATTTCAGATTGTTTCTTTAGCTCCTTGCAGGTTTTTACACTTTGGGGAAGTAAATTGTTTTAGCATTCAGAAGGAGAGACCTACACCTTTCTCTTTTAAAGTGGGAGGAAGAGAAGGTGGGGATTAGGAACCATGAAAGCCACTCAACTACACTGGTTCTGGGGTAAATCAGATTTAGGAAGGAGTATGAATAGAAGTTAAAGGCCTGGAATTGATCTCCTTAACACTCTCTGAGTTCCTCAGTTCTCAAGTTTGATGACCGCTACTCAGGTTCATATTCAAGTAGAAGAATTGCTAGTGTTGAGTCTCTTAAGCTGTGTGCCTCTTTCACGGAACCAACATCACGGATGACGTTGCTGTATCTCTCAAGGACTCAGGAGAAGTCCCTCTGAATGTCTGTCTATGTGAATCATAGGAGGTTTCTAACTTTGGGAAAAGATCATGGTCACTTTCTTTAAATAATTGGTGACCAATGAGTAACCCATGAGAGTTCTAAGGTATACTTAGTTTATTTCTATAATTTGCTTTGTGACAATCTCAGGAAGTATTTTCATTCATGACTTTCTTTCCTTAAAGGGTATCCTTAGTGTACATCAACCAAGGTGTCATAAAGACAGCACTGTACTTGATTTGCATTCTGTGACCTGAAGCAAAAATGCCTGTAAGGCCTCTTAAAACCTCTGTTAATTGTAAAATAAACAGATGTCTCGTGGAGAAGGTTATTAGAAGTAGTTTGTTCAGTTTGAGAAAACTAGGAGTCAGGATTGCTTGGCCTAGATTTTGATAGTAAGCCCAAGCCAACTAAGCTACCAAAGGTAAGTAAAATACGCAGGTAGTTTACTCTTAGGGCAGAAATTTTCTGGTTTGCAAATTTCTGGATGTAGTTGAAAAGGACAGTACATTTCAAAAATAGAATAATGGTCATTCTCAGGCAGGAGAATTCTCCTTTAGAGACTGAGAAGGTTTAATATGCTAAATTTAAATAAGGAAAAATCAACTGGTGAATAGGACGAATGCCTGAACATTATGAAATAAACAAGATTTGAAACATAGACAATCCTATTTTACAGTTACAAGTTATTTTTAAAATCATTATAAAGACTTAATAATAAAATATAGTATCTGACAGTAAGTCCATAAGAATACATTAATAATAAGACACATCTTAATAACAGTCTTCCTCCTATAGTCATAATTAGCTAGTTAATATTAATATAGGGAGAGAGCAAAGAGGAGGCCAGACATTACAAGCGTGGTCATCTGGGCAGCTTCACCAGGAAGCTACATCTTCATGCTCCCCAGGGAACCACAGGTCCATTCTCTGCAGATCACTCGGGGAAGGGGTCGAACAAAGGGGGAGATGGGCACATATGCAGTGAAGTCTGGGTGACTAGGGAAGGTGCTTGTCTGTCAGCCTCTCCTGGAGAACAATGGATAGGCTAGGGGCTAGACCCCATCAGAAATTCTTGAAATCTTGGAAAGTTAAAATCCCCAGATGAAGAGTTTACTCTCTCTTGTTCTCTTGCTCCTCTCTTGCTTTGTGACCAGCACACACCCATGCATTTGCTTGTTCTCTCTACGTATCCATGCAGACGTCACACACAGGATGCTAGACTGGACTATATTTTAATATGAAGCAGAAATTATGGGCATTGGCCTTGAATTCTACCCCTGCTGAAGACAAGATTGGACTTCTTCCATGGCAACACAGGCAGAGATGGGACCTTGGAGGGGAACCCCTCTTAATTTTACATCATCAATAAAGCTTTCCAAGGAACCCCATCTTCCCATTGGAGCTTCAGGAAACTCTTTTCCTCATGGGACCCCAAGAACTCTACTTTCATCAATATCACTCTTACTTGTTTCAACAGGTGATACAGGAAAAGAGTGGTCCTGTGAGCTATAGCAGCCAATGAATGGCCTGGGATTGCACACTGGGAGGCAGCCAGGACAAAGGTACTATGTCCAGAAAATAAATTTTAGATCAGATTATTTATGGCTTAGAGCTGGGTCAATGAGGTAGGGTTTTCCCCCCCCGCCCCCTTTAGAAAGGATACTGTTTATATCTATTAGCTTTCTTCCAGTTCCCTGGTTTCATGAAATTTATGTTAAAAATTTGACAGATTCCCAAATTAATTCTTAAGTACCATGATCCCGCCCCTCTCCCCTGCCCCCATACCAGAAACAAAGATTATAGACATCCTTTTCCTCTAGGGTTTCCTGTAATATAAAACTGGTATATCTTGTAAGAAATGAAAAACATTTAAGCAAAATTAAGTAGCAAACATCCATAAAAGAAAACTCAAGCTATTGTATTTAGAAAAGATAACATTTCTAACCTAGGTCTGACAATGTTAGGTTTTTCTGTGGTTTTCTTCCTTCCTTCTTTTCTTTCTGTCTTTCTTTTAAAAATATTTTTATTGATTTTAGAGAGGGAGAGAGAGATAGAAACATCAATGATGAGAGGGAATCATTGATTGGCTGCATCCTGCACACCCTACACTGGGGATAGAGCCCGCAACCTGGGCATGTGCCCTGACTGGGAATCGAACCATGACCTCCTGGTTCAAAGGTCAGTGCTTAACCACTGAGCAACACCAGCCAGACCTGTGGTATTCTTGCTGATGTTCCTACAAGACAGAAAATCTAAATTACAAGGAGAGTATCTTTCTAACTTATTTTTTAATCCTAAAACATTGTTAATAAGAAACTTATAACTGGGCAGGGTCTAGAACTGCTTTATTGTATTATTAAGTGGAATCATGGAATTAAATTGTGGCCCACCATTGGGACACTAAGGTTAGGTTTGTTTTTTTTAAAATATATTTTATGATTTTTTACAGAGAGGAAGGGAGAGAGATAGAGAGTTAGAAACATCGATGAGAGAGAAACATCGATCAGCTGCCTCCTGCACATCTCCTACTGGAGATGCAGGTACATGCCCTTGACCAGAATCAAACCTGGGACCTTTCAGTCCGCAGGCCGACGCTCTATCCACTGAGCCAAACCGGTTTCGGCTAAGGTTAGGTTTTTAAAAATTAAGTATAAATTAAAGATGCTACATTAATGTGATTGAAAAATTAAAAAGCATGAAATAACAGCATCACATACGATGTGAGCTTTGGCCCTTGAAGCTGTGTAACCTGGCTGTCCTGTAAAAGTCACCTTCCCACCTGACCTGCCAGCTATATCACTTTCTTCTGTATTAATAAGGCGAATCTTTAAACACAGAGGTGAAGAGCAGGAAAATGGAAATAGGAAGAAAGAAAATGGCAAGAAAGAGGACAGGAGAAAGGTAAGTAGAAGGATGGGTAGAACAGAAATGTCTTTGTTTATTCTGGTCGCTGTCACAAAATACCATGGATGGCACTAAACAACTGGAACTTATTTCTCATGAATTTGGAGGCTAAAATCGGAGATCAAGGTGCTTGCATCAACAGTTTCTGTGTCTAGTGAGGGCCTCCTATGGAGTGGGGGAAGGGGTGCTAATCCCATTCCTGAGGGCTCTGCCCCATGATTTAATCACCTCCTAAAGGCCCCATCTCCAAATATCATCACCTTGGGGGTTAAGTTTCAACATAAGAATTGGGGGAAGCAGGGGGTACCAACCTTCAAACCATAGTAGAGGGGGGAAGACAGGTTTTAAATAAAGGATTAGCAACTTTCTCCTAGACCTCTCTTTCAATTGTCCTTTGTTTGTATGTATATTTGTAAATGAATAGAAGAGGAAGAAATGGAAAGAGGAAAAGAAAAAAAAGTCATTAATCTGGGGACCGGTGGTGGTGGTGGTGAGCCCCTGGGAATTTTAAAGCACGTGCATGTATTACAAAAATAAACTTCTCTGTATTGGCCCTTCTTCTCATATCACTTTTCTCTAGTGTTAACCAATTATATTTTATTATTTTGAGAATTACTTTTTGGGAAAAAATTCAGAGCCAATAGGCACAAACTATTCGTGTAAGAAAGGGAAGCAGGGATGCGGGCCTATACCCACTCCCGCCCCTCTCCCCTGCCCCCATACAGAAACAAACTAACCTTTCTCCAGCACAGAGTGGCCTGAAGGAGTCTAGAATTAAATTTTCGGCACTGACCTGCTCCCACTGCAAATAGATGAACTGATTTCGCTGAAGATGCTTTATCTGTGCGCGGGACCATGTTTATTGACTTCAACTCTTCAGCAGGTGGCAGTGTTCCCCTCCGTTCCCCGTGGCCTTGGTGTTCCCTTCTTTTCAAAAGAATATGGTCCTTTCTCTTTTTTCAGTCCACGTACAGTGGCTAACTCCTTTACATCCTGGTTTGGAAGATATTCTCCAAATGATCCTAGGAACCGAGGAGGAGAAATTTGCAACATGCAGCAATTTATGTTTTCATTTTTGATCCTTGAGGCTAATTTCAGGACAGTTAAAGGCAGAGTGTAAACACCAGTAAATGTGTTGTTTACTTGTCCCTGGCTTTCCCTACTCCCTATTTATTGTCTCTAACTTAGTCAGTCTTCTTGTTCCCTTCAATCACCCCTGTCAAGTCTTGAAAATGCCATTAAAAGCCATCTCTAGTCAGTTTTTTCTCTAACTCATATATTTAGGTTTCTATAAAAGTAATGCTTTCTTCCCAACTTTATTCACTGAAGAGATATCGGGAAATTTCCCAGGCTCCAATCCAGAATCCCTTACTGAGTAGCTATGTAATCTAAACATGTAAACCCGTTGAGCTTCAGTTTCTTCATTTGTAAAAAGGGATTAATGAACTAAAGGATCTTTGCGGTTTCTTGGATCGTAAAGTAGTCTGCCATTGCCCTGAATGGTGGTGGTAATGTGTGGCCCTACATGATTATTTCTGGAGGAAACTTTCCTTAAATAGTACAAAGAGTGAAGAGTAGATCTAGTGGAGACAGTTGATTTAGGGGGAGAGGGTACACAGGGTAAGATACAACCTGTCTACTACTCAGCATCTCTACTAACTGGAATTTAGGGCAGATAGTCTTATCCTATATAATAAAAGGCTAATATGCAAATAGACCGGCTGAACAACCGGTCTCGACATACGCTGACCACCAGGGGGTGCACATGGAACATGGCAGGCATCGGCTATGGTGGGATGGTGGAGCAGGTGAGTGGGGGCGCCCACACCAAGGCGGGGAACCAGTCGCTGTCATCGGGGTGATCCTCTGGTGGTTACTAAAAATTCCTTGCTCCTGCATACCGTGGTCCCGTCCGGCATTTGCACCCACTGCTGGCGCCAGCCCCTCTTGCACCCGCAGCCCGTGTTGGAGCTGCCACTTGCACCCGCTGCTGGTGCCCACTGCTGGTGCCTGCTGCCGGCTCCCTGTGCCAGTCCCGATTGCTCGGCACCGTCAGTGGGTGCAAGTGGCTGCCAGCTTAATCGCCCCTGAGGGGCGATAGGGGCAGCAGCTGCCGCTTGCACACATTGACAATGCCGGCCCCACTCGCACCTACTGCTGGCTCTGGCCCCAATCTCTCTGTGCCATCAGTGCATAGGAGCGGCAGCAGCAGCAGAGCTGCAGGCAGACAAGAGACCAGGGGGGCCGGCTGTGGGAGGGGCCAGGCAGAGGCATGGAGGATGGGCTGAGACCCACCCCTTTGCCCACCCCAGCCTCACCGTCCACAGTTCCTTTTAAGATGCATGAATTCGTGCACTGAGCCCCTAGTATAATTCTATGGTGCAGGAGACACCAAGCAGACCTTTAGCCTTAAATGCTGGAAATTCCTTAGTGTGCTCATTTATTTAATAATGGTATAAGAGTTGAGCTCTCATCCTGGTTTACTTGATATTCTTTTGATAATTGTCATTTATTTGTTTTTTTGCATTGATTCTACTGGACGAAATCAGTTTTTTATCTTAAGAAAATAGTAAGTGATCATAGTAGAGAACTTTCAAACGATACAGAAAGCAATATATGAGAAGAGAAATTTCTCTTTCTGAAGCCCTTCCTTCCCATCCTGAGGTAACCCATGCTATCTCCTCTCTTACTTATTCTTCCAGATATTTCCCATGTATTTATGCAAACACATATCGTATACACATGTATGTATTCTCACTGTTGTTTTATTTCACTATTTTAATGAAGCCTTTTGTGACATATACTAATCCTAGGTAGAATTATACATGTAAAATAGATGAGTGAGCAAATGAAAAAATTACAGGATTAAGAAACAATAAATAATAAACTGAAAGCATTCTACTGCCAATCAAGTTGTCAACTGATAGTGATGATCCTTCAATGCTAGAGAGTCTGGGCTGAATTGACCGTGGGAAAATTATGTTTGAATAGTCATTGATAGGGGAAAGGGCTGCAGTCCTTGTGGTAGATGACCAGCAGTAAATCCTCCATCTTGCTACATGCTCCTTCCAAGAGATGAAGCCTGTTTTTCCTCCCTGGAATCCTGACAGACTCTGTTGTTTGGATTGGTCAATAGAATGAGGCAAAAAATGATGCTATTACAGTTCTGGGCCTAGACCTGGAACTAGTTTTTGGTCTCTTGGAAGATAATAATCATGTAAAGAGGTTTGGCTACCTTGCTGAAGAGAAAGGCCTGATGGGGTGATGCGCTTCTGGAGGAAAAGAGACTAAAGAAGGAGATAGGTTTAGCCAGCTCCTAGGTAACCCCATCATTCCAGCTGTGGCACTAGCCATGTGACTGAGGTCATGTCGAGTCCTCCAGCCCAAGTCAAGACAACCCCAACCAACACTACATGAAGCAGAGATAAGCTGTCACTACTGTGTCCTATCTGTATTATAGAATGGTGAGCAAGGAAATGGCTGTTGCTCTTCTAAGCTGCTACATTTTGGGGTAGTGTGTTACGCACAGTAGATAACAGAAACTGATGTGTGAAAGTAGGGTGCTGGCATAACAAAAATCTTAAAATATGGTACAGGCTATGGGACTGGGGCATCAGTTGGAAAGGTGATGAGGGAACTCTTAATGTAAAAAAACCCACACCATTAAATTAGCTTTTAAAATTTTTATTTTGAAACAATTTTAGACTTGCAAAAAACTTGCAAAAATGATCCAGAGTTGATGTATATTCTTCACCCAGCTGGCCTAATCTTAATAAATTAGAGAGCCATAGACTAATTATCAAAACCAGGAAATTAACATAAGGTACAAACAAGCAGATATTTGCCATTGAATTTTAAAAATCATTTTTTAAAAAACCCTTTCTGTACATTATAGATAGGGTCAGCTATATAGAGGTTTCAGCCTTCCCACTTGGGTAAGGAGATTTATTGCGTAGAAGAAAAAAAAAGAAAAAGAAAATTTGAAAAAGGATACATCAGTATTATCCTTTAGGAATCTGCTTAACTGGGAAGGGGAGGAGGTTTTTATTCAGCAACTTCTAATAACTACCTGATATTGCTGTCAGGCTGACCAAATATCTGCCAACATTGGTGATCCTTTCATTCATCCCTAGAGAAAAGTAGAGACCCAATGCTTAGAGCAGCAGCAAAACTACTTCCCATTTTCTCCCTTAGCTGATGGAAGTGCCTGAGGGCCATTCTCATATTCCCACACTTTAGTGCTGATGATGCACGCCCTCTCTGCACCAGAATAACTGGTGGGCATTGAAAAGAATCCTCTCTCCTCAAGCCTAAGGAACCCATGGCAGAAACGAACCCATTTTCTTCCCAGGTGTGGATTTCAGAACTTCTTAGATGCTGGAAAAGTAATCCTCACAACGAGTAGGCTCCAGGGTCTCTGGGGACAAGCTCAGCAGCCTGAGAAACTGACATGGAAAATTGTACTCCTCCCCAATCCACTTCCCTTCATTTAACTGCATCTTCACTTTGCCCACCAAGCAGTGGTGCGTATTCAATTGAGCACAGCTCAGGTTCTTACAATGAAATCTAGTGGAACATCTAGAAACCAGGGTCTCTTTGTCCTTGGTTATTTGTGAAATAAAGAAGTCTCTAGCTCACACTAGGCTGCATGGGCAGGATTTTCATCTTTAGAAACCAAAGTAGGAGTAGGCCTTTCTCCTACCCTTTCTAGGTTGCTCTCCATTTTCTTTCAACTTATGATCCTTGTCTCCCCCAGGCCCACCAGGACCATGCACAAAATCAGCTTCCAGGAAATACCAACATTGAAGGTCCAGCAGGATGCTAATTCCTGTAGACCCATCATAAAAGGATGTTGTATTTAAACTACAAGATTTATGGAGACTCAGAGATCGCTAAGAACATTGTAAGGTTTAATTAGTAGTCTCGGAGTTAGGTAATGGCCTCTGGCTTCTAAGCTAGGTCTCTTGAGGTTTCTAGTCTTCAGGGGCTGCCTGCAACTATGATGTGCTCATACACAATCTCCTTTCTCATATGCAAAATAAATCGTCTTCAGACCTTCCTAGGCGTCTACTCCCAATTACTGCAATACACATACACATTGATCTCTGTTCTCCCAGTGCCCCTCAGCCTAAATCTTAACACAATCTTTGGGCTCCAATTGTCTCCTTGAGTTCTACTTCCCAGGGAAAAGAAAAGGAGGACGTTCCTGTATTGGTGTTGACTGATGCCTATTTTCTCCAAGCAGAAGGTGGACGACTGGTCCTGCAGATGATCAAGGTCCCGGTAAAAGCGCTCCAGTTCTCAGCCTTTCACAGGGATAGGTCAACTAATGGGGCTGTAAGCAGACTTGACAGGTTTGTTCTGGGCTGACGGCCATTGACTAGGTTCTCCGACCAGATAAGTCACTTGCCACTCGCCGAGTTTACAGTAGGTGGGGCGCGCTCACCAGCTCAGGGTTAGTGACTGGAAGTCTGTGGCAACATCGGTGTATCCCAGTAGCAGCAGAAGTCCCCCTCCTGCCCCGCGAGCACGGCACCAGGAAGGTTCGCCCTAAGGGGCAGGGCACTAGCGAGGAAGAGACGCAGATCCCCCCGGGGCACAGCCCCTTCTCCCGCGGTAGGGAATGCGCAGTGTGAGCCGATCCAGAGCTAGGAGGGTGGGAGCAGCCTGGGAACGCTCGTCCCGAGGTCTGCAAGAAGCAGCGGCGGCAGCCAGCGGTGCGGGGAGACGGGGGCACGTGCTTGGATGTGGGTGCTTGTGTAACCAGCTTCCCAGTCGTCAGCCCCCGCGGAGCTCCGGTAGGAGGCTCTCCCCGGCGAGTTTTCCCCTAGCGAACCGGGCGGCCCAGCGGTCCCGCTGCCCGCACCCGGCGGACGCACAGCGGGCGAAGGGAGCGAACCGCTCGCCTCTCCGGCTATTACAGGGGAGTGGGAATTTGGAAAGTTCCCCAACTAGGCACACACGTGACCGCCTCCTGAAAGTAGTTCCGGCCGCGGCCCGGGTATCCCTCCACCGCCTTGTGAACCCTCCTAGGGCTCCTCGGCCCCGCCCACTCTCGGGGGTACCCTCCAGGGGGCCTTGCCAGGGCGGCGGGGTGCATCCACTCTAGGGATCCGCTTCCAGTCCCCCAGGCCGTTGTCCTTGGGAACCTAGACATTCAGGGACCATGTTCTCACACTCGGCGTGCGGTTGGGAGCCTTCAAGTTCAGGGCCGGAGGGCCGGGTGGCCGGGGAAGCGAGAGGTGGAGCGGTGAAAGGGGGCCGGTGAGGTGGGAGGCCCCGGAGACACAATAGGGGGTTGTGCTTTGTGCTCAGACTGACACCTGGAGGACACGGAGCGGGAGGGGGAGGGGGGGTTCGGCAAAGGCTGCGGGATTCAAATCTCTGCGAAGGACTGTGATCCCACAGTGGTGCCAGAGCCAGCCCACAGGCCGTGCCGGGGAGGGCAGGC